CTCAGCTTTGTTGTGACCCAAATACAAGACTCATACATTTCAGGAGCTGTAGGCAGAGTAGGTGTGGTAATCTCATAATCCCTTTTCAGGTAGTCATGTTGGTTTTCTTTCCAACTTTGTTTTGTTAAATTTATGTATCTGGGTGGTTGTTTATTCTAAATACAGCAATTACAGTCCCATCCAAAATAGTGCATGAATTGACAATGACTAAAGTCAGGTATTGTTTAGACGGTGCATAAAAAAAACAAAAAAAACAAAAAAAACTTAGAACTGTACTTAAGGAGAAAATAATGATCATCTGATCACTTAAATATTACGAACTGCAAGAAACACCATTTATAAGTTGTGGAAGCTTAAAATATTTCTGCTGTTGTCTTGTCAACTTTCTTGCCTATAAGATAGTTAATCGATTTGTTCACCATTGTGGAAGTGTGCTTATTCGCTTTCTTGCCTAGATTAGGATGAGAAGATTAATACCACTTTCATGTCTGTATGGCAAATATTAAGCGGCAGCCTGCTAGCTTAGCTTAGCATAAAGGCTGGAAGCTGGGGAAATGACTAGCCTGACTTAAAAATCTCCCAGCACCTCCTGGTTTTTGTACAAATTAAACAAAAAGTGTGTGAACAACTTGAGGATCTACATCCTTCTTATAGTAGTTATAGTTCAAGTATTTTGATTTAATGTGTATAATCTCTTTGACTTTCTCTTCAGGTTCAAACACAAAAACTGCCTCTGCGAATGATGGCCGGCCTCGCCAGTCTTCCTCCTCGCCTCACCCCAACTCCCAAAAAGACTCTACATCCTGCGACCTCGAGCACTGCCACGGACACGGCAACTGCATCCCAGACCGCAAAGTCACTCGCTGCCAGTGTATGGCTGGCTACAAGGGAGAGTTCTGTCAAGAGACGGAAACTGGACGACACGTGGCTTTGATCCTGGGCGTCCTGTGCCTCAGTGCTTTATTGGTGGCTGCTGCTTTTATTTTTGCTAAAAGGTATTGACAATGAGAGTTTTTGAGAGTTTTCTTTTGCACCCTGGCCAGAGGGCTTCACTTTGGAAATTACTGCTGGCCGCAAATGCATTTAGCCAGGTTGTTGTTCATTTCAGCTGCATCTGCTGTATTGATTGATAAAATTAAACTGAAATTTTAATGAAACTAAGAGGGTTCTATGTAGAAAATTAAAATGTAGCTTTTTTAAATCCGGCTTCAACAGGAGAGGCTGGGCGTCCATCAGAAGTAGATCCATCGAGAAAGAAACTCTGATGGCTAACATGGGCCTGCCGTGTGAAAACTACGATTCAGACTCTGAGGTAAAACCGCATGCACACACATTCTTTTGGATAAAATAATATGAATAATTGATGTGGCTTATTTATATACTAAACCAGCTGGTGAATTTGACAATAAAGTAATCAGTTTACTGAAATTTTGGCCACCAATATGACATCCGGTTAGAAATATGGATAGAGTACTTCCTGAGCCGGAGGGAGGGAGGAAGGGCTGGTGCGTGTGTTAGGAGTATATTTTGTTCAGTTGTGTTGATACTATCTGTTGTATTAGCTGTTTTCCTTCAGTGGAAATGTACACTGCATTCTCATGTCCTACATTTTGTAATCCTTCCTCAATAAAACATACACAAAAAAGAAATGTGGATAGAAATCACATGCTTACATTTTTATGGTTTTGATAGACCTGCAGCTCTTTATTTGAGTTGAGTGTGAGCGTTCATTATGGACCATGGAAGTTGTAGTTGTAGACAAAATCTTAAATCAGTTCTTTTTTTAACAAGGTTATAAAAAATAGAAATATAACAGAAATATTTGCACGACTACTATTTATTGTGGCATTATATATTATTTTCCTGTTAACTGTAAAGGATTGTCGGGATACAGTGTAATTTATATTGACAACAATTACATTCCTATAAATACAACCTTACATGCATAAACATTCCAGCCTGTTTTTCTGCTTAATTAAGGGATTTCTACACCTTTTGTCTTTGTTATGTATTCATTAGTTGGCAACTCTTCAGATTAATATCTCTGCTCTGTTTATAAATTAAGGTTGAATATGTATGATCTTCTCTTGTCTCCAGGAACTCGAGTCCCCAGCAGACATGAAGAACCTCCCACTCGAGTTAAAGTCACTACAACTCGAATAGAAGTTCTGTATTCTGAAATATGGCATCCAGTAAACACCTAGTGGCTGACGCTGAGGATTATATTTGCTGGGTTGGTTTCATGACAACTCTGAAGGCTGCTGACATTACAAGTCATGTCTGAGGATGCATTTCACTTCAAACATACTGATGGAGACTGTCTTTTAGTGTAATAAAAGTGATGAAGGATAAACCAAAAACCAGACTCTTGCTTGTTTTAATTTCTAACAAGGACAACTTTCAGAATGGGACTAAAGCTTTTACAGAGATGTTGAGTTGCACTTGACATTTTACTTACAAACAGCAAAAAAAGCAGGAGAGGGTGGAATAGGGTATATTAGTAGTAGTTAGAATATATGCTGCTTTTTTGATATACAGTTCACATTGTTTAGGAAGTATGTATGTTTACCAGTGGGAAAGAATATTTATCTTAAATACATCCTTGTTTTTGTTCTGCATTCACCAGTGAATACACAGCAGGATATTTTTTTGTAGTGTAGACTCTGGGAACATGGACTGAGTGGCATTATTGTGTACTTTTAACTTTGAAAATTAAACAACAAAAACTTTATTTCTCCTAAACCACCCTTGACTCAAAGGCAGACAGCTATGTCACCATGTTAATCCCTTCATGCCTGCACTGTCAGTCTGTATCTGTCTTTGCTGGAGCTTCTGATGTTACTTCATGTTTCTTTAAACCGTGTGTGTGTTTGTATATCCTGCTAATGCTACTGTGGTGACACGGTTTCATACAGTGCTTGGTTGTTGTCTGTACCTGCAGGTTGATGGTTATTTTTATCACATTACACTATATTCTCTGATCACACAGCAGTTCCTCTCAAAAGCAGGGGGAAATGCTGTATACCACCCAAAGCTGATGGTGAAAAAATGCTGATGCAAGGCTAACAAGCACAGAGTATTAAACCAAGTGCATACAAACTGATCCTGACATCCTCAGAGCCCTCCTCGTGTCTTTGTGCTGCCAAAATGTTGTCACAGCTTTGTGTTAGTCTGTAGCTGTTTTGTAATCTGACACCAGTTTCGGACAAATGCTTCCGTATGACATTTTGTTTCCACAAACATATTTGGTATGAAAGATCTCTTTGTTCACGTCCTTCCACCTGTCTGTCCGATCAAAAACTCGATCCAGAGATACGTAGTTAGAAAATGTGTGTGCATATTTTTACTGCTTAAAAAATGTTAAATACTTAAAAACTTAATATGCCCATGGGCGTTCTATTTCAAGGTTTTAAGATCATATTATTGTTGTTATAAAACACTGTCACATTTGAAATTACCCATACATGCTTGCATTGACAATGCTTTAACTCAGAGGAGCTTGACAACAGTGGGCTGCTGACTGAGCACCGTGCACATAGCCGTTTTGCAATAACCACAAGATAATGACTGGTTTGTGCTGAGTCATTTAGCAGTTACAGTAACACAGTACAATGCATGTAAACATAAAGGAAACGGCTATGTTGAATGATATTGTCAATGATAGGGGCGCTTTAAAGGTCCAGTGTGTAGCATTTAGGAAGATCTATTGGCAGAAATGGAATACAATATTAATATATATGTTCTCATTAGTGTGCAATCACTAGAAAATAAGCCAAACCGGCTTTAAATAGGCTAACACATGAGTCTACAGCCCACTGGCTCTGTAAGGCCGTAGCTACAGGAATGCTACAAGAAAAACGACTAGTTTGAAAATGAAAAACATTGGGGATCTTGTAGAAAGACATGAGGTAACCAGATCCAGGCTCTGCTTGAGACTATAGTGGCATCAAGGCTACAGCTCTGCTATTATGATTTTCCCTGTCCCTGTTACTAGCCAAACACACCCAAATCTCAGACCTAACTGTCAGTGGTCAGTGAGTTTCATTGTGGATAAGATGCCAGGTTTTGACAAGGAAGAAGAATGCATGGAATAAAAAATATGACAGCCTAGGGAATATCATTAGTGTTGCAGGTATTGTAATTTGTACTGGGCAAAAACTTTAACCTGATGATGGCATTCAAGGCAAAATCAGGGAATCTGAGGATTGGGATACATCATCTGGGAACGATGAATGTCTGTACCAAATTTCATGTCAACCGGCTGATGGTGCCAGAGAAGAACTTTAAATCAACAATATCCTATCCAATAAAAGCAAAAAGTCCCAAAAATATATATAACAAAAAATGTATTACTCTCTATGAGGTGTAAGAAATAACAATTACACAACAGATATTTGAACTGCTGCATGGTATAAAGAAATTTTTTCTTGTCAGGTTTTGCCAGCTGCGTCTTGTTCTAACTTGCCAAACTCCTCCTCCCATCCGCAACTGGTCCGGCAAACACACCTACTGTATTTCACGTTGACAGTCCTTAGGGTAAGGTGGAGTGTGTGAACACGTGTTTGTGTTATTTAGCTATGAATTCTTAGAAAAGGTGAGGATGATTTTTGCATATTTTACATAAAAATCTTTTGTCCCGTTTTATTTGTCTCTATTTTTCCTTATTTGGCATCCTGCATGTTAATTTTACAAGACATTGTCTGAAAGGTGCCACAGAACACATTTTTCCCAGGGGCTGCCAGAGCACTGAGTTTTGTACGCTAGCATGAGTCAGCACTAACTGAAGCATAAGATTTGTTTGCACTCTTATTATGAAATGTTATGTTGCTCCATCAATGTCAGGGATATTTGCTGTGAGCAAGAGTGTGTATGTAACTCAGCCCAATAGAAGATAAGAGGAAGGAGGAGGAGATTTTGTGTGTGTTTTACAGCGGAAAAAAACCCAGGCAGGTAGTCACAGGTCTCGCCTTTCTTCCTCTTCCCTCCTTCCTATTGTTACAAATTCCCTCACTAAAAGGGGAACTTCAGATCCTTTTTCAAACACCCAGGACCTCTAGCACAAACACACACACACAGACACCTGGAAGACCCTTCAACAAAGATTGAACTCCACAGCCGGCATTTTAAGACGCCAGGTCTGCATTGTTTGCCTTTGTAAGTAGATGTTTTTAATTTTGTCGTACTTTGTTGTGCTGCTCTGCTATTTTGCTGTACTGTGTTAAACACAACCTTGCTGTGTCGGTGGGAAACCTGAGGGAGGAGATGCTTGAGAAGTAAGATCACCTTTTACCACCTACCATTTATTTATGAGATAATTTACCACGCTGTACAACTCCGATAATGGTTACCTACATTTCAGTGACTTTTCCACACCACTGTATTTATTGTATGGGAAGCTGTGATGTAACGTTTTGTTTAGCAGTCATCTCAGTCTATCTTGTGAGGCTTGTGAGAATTGATTTGCAGTGTACTTTTGGTTTAATTCATGTGTTGAGTAAAGCTTTATGTCATAGATACTGCAAGCATATTAGCATCACTTTAACCTACTCTTTTTATGCATCCTGTATGTTAGTGAATTTGTTCAATATTCACTTTGTTTGTTCAGTGCTTTATGTTCAGTGTCACTGTGTCCTTACATGCACTTATGTTAATATATCCTGAGTCAGTTTCTGTATACCTAATGTTGATAAAGAAACAACTAGATAGGAATAGTATTTCATTGGGTTTCTCATGTGAAAAGAATAACTGTAAAGTCCCATTTTGTTTTAAGGCAATCCTTCAATTTGTCTCTTACCTTACTATGTACCTGCAGTTGCGCCATTGTGTGCATTTGGTCATTTGTATACTATGATTTAAAAGTAAAATATGTTTGAGGGCAAGATGGCTCACATTGCATGTAGGCAGTGAAAGTTGCATCACAAAAACACATCATTCATCAACTAAGAAGCTGTCTTACTTGCACACAATATAAATATATGATTCACAAATGCCAGAGCAAATGAAACATCATGAGCTCAGTTCCCAGGCAGGTATAAAGATGCTGTGTGGTATTAAATATGTATGTTATGGGTGTTTTATCGCAAACATTTCCTCAACCCAATTAGAAATGCCATGGGGAGAGAAACTGCCCATCCGGTTTAATCCGGCTTAATGTAGGTGCTGGAGCTGTAGACTAACTCATTGGAGAAAAGAATCCGCACAAACCTGTGCAAAAATCCTTTTTATTTTAGTATGTGGATGCTTTCCTCCATTGAGAGAGATAGTCATAGCAAGAAAAATACTGGTTGAAAGTAAAACATTTCATCAGCTTTATTTTTAAGTGTCTTTGAATTTTTGTTGTTGTCTTTTTAGTGTATTTTTACCCTGCAGCCAAAAATGTTTCTTTCAGTTTCGGCAAACAAAGTTGAATGTTTGGTAACGTGCCAAAAAAGAGGCTTTCAAAGAATGTTTGCAATGCTTATTTTTCCTCTATGTTGGAAGAATACAATGGTTACTACAGTATAAATAAAAGTAATAAACTGAATGTTTCAGTGCATGAGTTATGACAAATTCACCTTTTTGAATTCACCATCAGTAAATCGGATTACTAGTTCGTGACAGAAATTCAGTCAGTTACCACTTGTCTGGAGGTGAAGGAGGACAGCTAAAACATACTGTACTTATTGACATATTTACCAGAGCCAGACCTGAGCACATTCATTTGAGCTATTCTACAGAAAAATCTCTGTGTTTCTCTTTGTTATTGCCATATTGTGTTTTAGGGTGTGGCTTCCATCCATTCATTTCTCCCTTCTCCTGTTCTCCTTCCACTTCTCACTCCCTCCCAGTGTTTTCTTCCACTCCCTCCTCTAGGATGTCCAACCCTGTTCCTCCTCCTCTACCGAGAGGCATCGACTACGACCTGCCCACCTGCGGAGACACTCTGTGCAATAGCCAAGGTACCTGTGCACGTCCTCATGGTGGTGGCACCGATTTCGTGTGCGACTGCAAGCTTGGCTACCAGGGAGAACACTGCGAGGACACAGTCAACGGGGCGTTAAACATACCACTGACCCTCAGTGTGCTGGCAGTCATTTTTGGGCTGCTGATTTTTGCTTTCATCTTCGCCAAGTTGAGGCAGAGGCAAAAGAAGAGGCAAAGGTACTGAAATAACTCAGTGGTGTCTTTCTGTTGAAAGCTTTTATATTTGTTGTTCTTGAAAGAATATTTTAACTTTTTAGGGAAAATGCTTTGTTTGTTTCGAGAGTGAGATGAGAATAAGGACATCAACCTCGTGCTGGATGGAGCTGGAGTCAGGACGTGGTTAGCCTAGCTT